CGAATTTTTTAATTTTTTTTTTGTTTTAGTTTGGAAGGCAGTTTATTAAGAATTAAAAGAATGAAAAATCTGAAGGAGTACTAGATGAAAACACACAATTTATCCAGACCAGAGTATTAATTAGCCTAAAAAATTGACACTGTATTTCATTGTATACACCACAGCAGGGCAATTCTGAAAAAAATACCCTGTTGCTTTTTTTAATTCCTCTGCATTTTCATTCTTTACACTGTAGCTAAACCTTCTGCAAGGGAAAGACTTAGCACACATTAACATATGGGCACATCAGCCTCATCCTCACTACATCTTACAGCAGCTTACAGAACAAAACTCATGACGTGTCCCCATTTGCCTTAGGGGAAAAAAATGTCCATCTCGCATTTTTTGAAACAGCAACTCTGAGAAATCACAACACTCACGGCACACTTAAAATACAAAATTCACAAAACACACTGAAGCTTCACCGATTCTGCATTGCTCCAGAGCCAAGCTCCTCTGCTCCTTTTAAATGAAGGGATAACTCCTGTAACTAAGTAGGGCTTGGCCTCTCAATAATAACGAACTCGCTCCATCATGTGTCAATTATTAACTTGGTTGTGCTTTGAATCCTTAACTCCGTTGGGGCAGAGTACATTATAACTCTCTCTCCCAACAGCATTGGCATTCTGTTTCCAAAGCAGTAGGATCCGCTGAAGACAGGTGCACGTACTGGAGGAAGGGGGTCACTGCTCTATGTCTCTAAACATGAACTGAAATGATGAAAATGTCTTGTCTTTTCAGGGAAAAAAACCCAAACAAACAACAAAACAAAACAGAAGAAAGCCAAACCAAAACCCAGCAGGTGCAGCCCTCCCCCTGCAGCTGCTAAAACCTGCCCAGTTCCTATGTAAAGCTCTGCTGATGCTTCTGCTCCTACAATCAATGGCAGTGGCAATCGGTGGTGCTTCAGAGACAACAGCTGGTTCTCTGATGGCCATTCATTTCCTACTCGTCTGTAGGGGCGACTAAAGGTTGAATTCCAGCAATTTTTAGGAAATATAATAAATAAGAAAAGATGCTTTTTGAAGCATTGTGGAAGATACTTGTTATTGTAGTAGCTGATAGCTTGAAGTGCCTAGCTTTTATGGAGCGACCTGTGCTAGTGGTGAATTGCAGAACATCACGGTACCAGAGCCAGCAGAATATTTAAAATTCATTTTGCAGTGCATCGTTATTTGAGAAAGCGAAATGTGAATCTTTCACCTGGTCACAGCGCGAAACTCCTGCCGTTTACATACCCTCCTAAAGGCATCACGCAACGCACCATCCCAGGCGTATTCGCTATTTTCTCTACGTTTTTCACGCGTTAAGGTTCTCCCAGCGCAGGGGCAATCTCCC